CCCCCCCCCCCCCCACAGCCCCCCCACCAGCTTTGACTGCTGCTGAGCTCGAAAAATGGTTTAAGGTTGAGGCTGTCCGGGACTCGGACATGCAGCTGGAGAGCAGCGAAGGACACTGGAGCCTCGGCATGAGCCGTCAGTGGGTTGTGGGACAAAAAACCACCAAGGGAAGCCTGCCACGGCACTCTGTTACAGGTTGCTTTCGATGGATTGATCTAGGTCAAAGTGAAGGCTTTGGCAAAGCTACAGAAATCGCTCATGTCCTGCATTGCGAGTCCGAGGAAGATGCACCACAGAGCCCACCATCATCATCACCACCACCTTCACCACCACAAGCACCCGGACCAGGTCGGCACGTTTGTTGCGGCTCGAGCAGTATTCGGTTAGCCTCGCGCTGAATAAGGAGGCGCAGCTTGAAACTGCCGATGCACAGAAAGGTGGGCGACAGCACTTGCGTTGCAGATGCAAAGTCCAGCTGTCAGTGCCAGGTGCTGAGCTGTCTCAGTCAGCGTTTTCCCAAACCGCTACCTCAGCGTACGGTCGGACTCAGAAAACAACTGGGAATAGTTGAATGCATTATTGTGACATTGCCTGCACATGGATGCCCATGCTCTGTGACAGGACATGCAGAACCATTTCCAGTGGGTAGCTTGCTGTCGGCCCGCACGCATCATCAGCACCGGGACCACCATCAGAAAGCGGATGCAGCGACCACGGACGAATCCGACACCGAAGCCTGTCAGGAGGCATCTTCCCACCAAGAGATCCCAAGCCTCATACTTCAGCCGTATCAATGACCGTGTCTCCGAGAGAGGAGGTGGACATCCACCAGCCGCAGCACCTGCTGGAAGCCTTGAGGTGAAAGCTGCTCTCGGGAGCATGCCTTGGCTTTTTCCTCGTAGAAGTTCCTGAGCTGGAGGCGCTGCTTGGAAGCGAGGTCCGGGCCGGCGAGTCTTCTCCTTTTTTTTTGGGGGGGATGTCCATTTTGGGAGCTGCGCAGGAAAGAGCTCTCCGTGAAGACGCAGGAGCTACTGAAGGAAGAGAGACTTGGCACAGCGAGTTGCTCTTGCATTCTGCTGAATCCTCTGTTTGCATCCCTCTCACATACAGCCCAGGAAGGAGGGTGGCAAGGTTTATGCCACAGAGGTTACTGGGATCATGGACCTGATCAAGAAGGTGCAGGATGCAGACAGCGCTCCGACCGCAGCACTTGTGCTTTCATCCGGAGCTTCGAGGGGATGAATTTAGATGGTGACTCCAAGGGATGGACGGCCCATGGAATGAGGACCACAAGCAGGCCTTTGGGTTGTGGGCCACGGGGACGGGCGCGCCTTTTCCCTCTTCTTGCGCCGCCGATGCAGGTCCTGCAGCAGCTGCTGGAGCAGACTGGCGAAGCAGAGAGCCCGAGCCAACACAACTAGTAACAGACTAACTACAGCCAGACGCAGACTAAGACATGGACTCCTTCTCTGCTCTGCCTCGGCTTTTCTGGGAGCCTCTCCGAGGAAAGAAGCGGAGGCCGTTTGGCAAGACCACCACGACTCCGACGCCCACGCCCACTCCGAGCCGGTCTCGGGCGATTCCGGTGACGCCCACGCCGACTCCTGAGCTGACACTTGGACGAGGGCGGTGTAGTCGCGGAAGTGAAAAAGAGCCGCGGCTGTGGCTGCTGCGTCTTGAGCTCAGCTCTCCGTCTCCTTGCAGGGACCGGGAGTTGAAAAGCTTGTGCCGAAATTTGCCGCCTCAAGGGCCATGTGGTGCCATGACATATGTCACAGGAAAGGGCAACCCACGGATGCTGGGAGAAGCCTCTGCTCCTTCTTCCTCAGATTTCATGCCTTGTAACCTTGTATTGTGTGCAGTGACGGCACCCATTCGCCGGGGTCGGGTCGACAAGTTGCAAGTGCATAGCAGAGCCATGAACATGGGCGACTTTCGTCTCCGCGCGCTGCCTCTGATTCGCTTCGCTCCTTGGCGAGAGCGGAGAGCCCCTTGCGGAGAATGCGGGATGCCACACAGCGCATGAAGCATGGCCTCCAACACTGCCGCACTTTGATATCAGGATCCGAACCAGAAGAAATTGGAGGAAGCAGGCCTCTCGCGCATTTGGTCGTTTGCCGCTTGGACCCATGTGCGTGTTGTCGTTCAGGCCGGCCCGCACCTGATGGCAGTCCTGACAGCTTGGAGCACTATCAGTCGCAGTATTTGCAGTCCAAGTACTTCGTCCCTATGGTCTTGGTGCCAACTCCCCCGACCTCCAAGCAGCCAGAGCCTGCAGCGCCAAACGGCGACGGCCACGGCCACCCTCCGCGTGCTCCCGGAGCCCGAGCTGCCTCAGCCCCGCCCATCCTTCACGACAAGAAGCTCCTGTGCCAAGTTTGCCAGAAGGTCGCCCTGGGCATCAGGTGGTTGACATGCAAAGTCTGCAAGACATCGGACCTATCGGACTCCTCGGACCTGAAACATCTGAAACCCCCCAAGCTAGAGCGACTCTGCTCGGGCCATCGCCGTAGCAATGCCTTCGTCGGCTGCGAGTACGCACGTTGCCTGGCCTAGCACGAGTCCACATACATGGAGCTTTCACGAAAGCTTCGTGACACTCACAATTGCAAGCGAGGTCGGGGTGAGTGCAACAATGGCAAGTGCCAGAGTTGCCACTGCCACACGGAGCAGAAAGCCTTCGGCAAGCCGCTGAGTCAGCGCCGGCACCAGCGCAAAGCGTCGAGAAGGCAAGCAGCTGATCGCCTGCTCGGGGGCAGAGCAGGTTGGAAGAGGCTGGCCTTTCCAAAGACAGAGATGGAGGGGAGGAACCTGGGTCGGCGGGCGACGCTGAATGCGTGGTGCCCAGCTTTTCGACGGCTCTGCATAGCAACGCTACGTCGCTACGTCACTATGTCTGACCCCCACTTGCACCAGGCCCCGCCCACCAGCTCCGAGATGCGGATCCTCGGCCTCTCCAACATCAATGCTTGAGCTGCTTGAGTGAACGCTTCTTCTACATCTTACTATCTTACTGTCAAGTTGGACAATTTTGTACGTAGGCCTCAGGGAGTGCCCTGAAGCTCATGAGTGCAGCGCCTCTCGGTAGGAAGCAGGCGACATGTATGCTGATTGCCTGAGGGACGCTGCTGCTCGCATAGTCATCGTGCCTGGTTTTTGTTTTCGAGAGCCTACGATGGTGGACGTGCATCGAAAGAACACTGCTTGATTGTCAGACGAGACCGGCAGTGAAGCTTTCAAACGCGGCTGAGCCACATGCATGGGCATGCAGTCTGCCGGGCATCCGCAGGCGCGTGCTCCTCGAGCCTCTCTGTAGGATGTGGCCGCTCCGGGAGTCTCCATCCCATTCCCGGGCGCGGGTGCATGAGCTCGACGGTCAACGGACGCTCGGACCGCACATAAAAAGGGAAACGCGGACGGAAGCTTTTGGACAAGTCTTAGGCAACAGAGGACAGAGATCTCACTGAACCTCTGAGGTGAGCCTGCGCGGCAGACGAGCCAACCGATTCGCACAGATGCCACCTTTGATACGCATCTCCGCAGCATGAGAAGCCTTTGAAAGCCATCGAAACGTCAAGCCAAAAGTAGACGATGGTTTTGCGACCGGGCAGATTCCATATGGAAGCTCCAGAACGGAGACATAGCATCACTTCCTGGGCCCAGGAAGGCCAAGGATGACAAATGGCGAACCCTTCTGGTGCCTTTGGCCCCTTTTTGGTACTTGTTCTCTTCAGCGTTGGGTTTTCTGTCCGCGGTTCGGGGCTGCTTGCAAGCCCAGGTGTTGATCCTCCGCGACAAGGTGTAGCTTGGGAGCTCTTGAGACACGCCTCCCTTGAAACGGCAAAGGGTGGGAGGGAGCTTTGAAAAAAGATCTTCCAAGATTCCAAGGTACAGGTCACTGACGTTTTGGAGGCCGCGCTTTGAGTTCAAGACAGCCGGGGACCTGGCAAAGACGCTCTACGACAGCGGCAAGGGCGGGAAGGATGTGCCTCGGACAGAGCATCCGTAGCTTCTGAAGCGGGGGTGCCCCCTTCAGTGCTTTTAGCCGTTTTGCCTTTGAGTCAGGTTCTCTTGGACATGAAGTGGCTCGTGCAGAACGACCAGGAAGCTGCTCAGACGGAGGAGTTTGCGAAGGGAAAGCCGTCGACCTCGGATGAGAGCCTGACCTCCGGGGACGGCAAGACCCCCGAACGCCCCGCGGCTGCGCCTCCTTCTGTTGTGAATCCTCCTTAAACCGTCCTAGAACTCTGAGAGTTTACGGGAGTTTCCCGTGCTTGTGCTGAGATGCTGAGGCAAAGCCTGGATCGAAGTCTTCGACTCCGACTTGGCCTGCATCATCGACCTGCTGCGCCTCGGCCGATAGGGCCGATAGGGGCATCGGGCCGCGCGGGCTCCTCCTCCTTAGATTCTCCTTCTTCTTCTTAATTTGCAGACTTTTGCAGAGAAAGAGTTTTGCAAGGAACAAATCTCGGAGCCTCGCAGTGTCAGGATGCTCCTGAACGTGAGCCTGACGATGGTGGTCGCACCTCTCACGTTCCTTTGGGACGGCCGCTGGCAAGATCCCTCCTCGGTGCCTGGAGGCGGAATCCCGGGAGCCTTGAAGCCTTGGCCTTCACTCCGACCCTGGCGGGGGGCACTCCCTTCAGGTTCTGACACGTTGACGCTGGATGTTTGCACCTCCATCCGCAACCATCACCGAGCAGAGGCGAAGCTCCAGAAGAGTCTGGGTTTCTTTGGGGTGCCCTTGCAGGTATGGATGTGTTCTATGCCATCTATCTCCTTCTAATGCTGGCCGAAGCCTCAGAGCCCTTCTGCATATGCCTTGCGAGCTGAGCCGAGCGGAGCCCAGAGCCAGGAAATGTCTTATCTCCATCCGGAAAGACGTCCCTCGGACCGCAGAAGCGAGAGTTTTTGTTCCTGAAATGTGTGGGGACTTTTCCATCTGAATGCAAGGAACGGAGGCGCAGCCGGCCGAGAATCGGCCGTCCTTTCGCTTCGTTGTGGGGTCAAGTTCTGACTCCCTGTCCCTGACAGATTGTGACGAGCAGAAAGATCCGACGATGGCGCATGAAATCCTTGCTGTACTGGCTGAAATGGCTCAGTGTCACGGCAGTGAGCTCAGAGCACAGCTATGGCAGCATCAGTGTGAGGCTTCAAAACGAATTTTGTCAAGGTGCACATATGGGCCGCATCCTTCGGCTGGCCGTTGTTTATCAACCTCTTAAAGATAGTTCGCGGAGGTGTTCCTTGGGCTGCAGCTGCATCAACTTGATTTGGCGAGAAGTTCGGAGTGTTCTTGGTGTCTTTTTGAGGTCTTCGTGGAATTGCCAGACTCGCTCTGGCGACTTCGGGACTCCAGCGAAGTTCGGCTCACGAAGCCGATCCTCCTGCTGATTGGACACTCGTCCGCAGACATGCCGGGATACTGGCTATCCTGGGGTGCTACGCTATAGTATGTGCCACTGGGCTTCTGAGGTGTGTCGCACTGGGCAGCTTACCTGAAGTCACGATAGCCATCAGCCTTTGCAGACCTGTTCGGAGCATCGTGCAAATTGAGCTGAGGTTGCATGCTTGCTTTTCTGTTTCGGTGGCTTCTTGGAGAACCTGCAGCAATTCGGACCAGAAGCGTCGGAGACAACGTTCCGAGGAGCCGAGCCTACCAATTGCCCACTAGTTTCGAAATGCGGGAGCACTTTGCCCTTTGTGTCAGGAGAGGTCATCGACGGCAAAATCTCTTCATATGCTGCTTGCCAGGGATGCCTCGAACCTTAGTGACTTAGTGCGCAGCTCTCTGCTCCTCTGCGGTCGTCCCAAAGTCGGATTCTGTTTGCACCACCCGGTTGAGTGTAGCGAAACCCTTAAAGATGTATCAGATGAATAGCGGACTCCAACACAAGTACTCGCTAAGCACTTGGACCTCGACAGCCTCTATGTCGCGCGGCTTGAACACCGGCCCAACAAAAACCTGCGACATCCTCCAAGCAGGCATCTCCACCTAACTGAGGCCACTCTGGCTCCCCCCGCACCCCCTGGGCCCCCCCGCTAACATCTCCAACACTAACAGAGGATCTGAAGAAGCATCCTGGGCTTTCGGGGGGTGCACCCTGAATCGTCTAGGGCCCTAGGGCATGCTGTCTTCATCTGACCCGAAGCCAGCCCTTGAGGTCGTCGCCTATGTAGAGGCGATCTACATGCTCACGGGAGCTCTGGATGGGCCTACCGGAGATGGGGCGCGAGAAGGGCACTTTGGAGCGTGACCTGGCTGGGATGTCGGGTCCCAACAAAAAGGAATATATGCCATAACTCCCATAGTTTAGGGTCCTTAAGGTAATGCAGAAGGCCGAGGCTGCTCTCTGAGCCCCTGGAGCAGCTTCGAATAGACCCACCGGGAAACAGGAGCACTTCCGGACCAGACGAAATTGAATACCTTGCATATACTTGGAGCCCATCCTGTTCGCTTAGATGCTCTCGGCACAGTTTGTCATGCATGCGACTGACGCCCGGCAGGCTGATTATTGTAGTCATCTTTGCCCCCATTGGCCAGCTAGCCGCCTGGCGGCATGTAATCGCTCTGTCTTGAGCTCTGCAACCTCATCAGACTAACAGGTTGTTTCCCTCTTCATCGCGGCCATCGTGCAGGACGGAGTCTTGCGGATCCCAGCAACTCCCCACCCCAAATATGAGATGTACGAGGAGCAAGATCTGAAGCATGCTCTGGACAAGCGCCACAATGAGAACAAGGCCTTGTGTGTTTTCAATTTCCCTCTCCCTCCCTCTCCGTTGCAGTTGTTGGGATCTCCTCTGAAACCGTCTCTTGCCCTCTTGCCTTCTGTTTGTGACCATGCAGGCTTTCATGCAGCGTGCTGTCCAGACCCTGGGCATTCCGAAGGCAAGCTGAGCTTTGGGGGCCGTGCTGGTGCCACACAAAAATAACGGCATCAGTGAATCGCGACTCCGCAGCATTGTACGAGGACTAGATTAGTCACAAAATATCAGCAGCCACCACAAGAATGCAGCAGCAAAATGCAATAGTGCTGCTGGTGGTAGTGAACCCCGCCGTGACAGGATCGTGCACCACATGAGTGGCAAACCTTGTCATGTCCATGTCTAAAACAGTTGCAGGAAGGCCCGGATCAGGGTGAAGGCTTCGTTGCCATATTGAGTTGCTGGACCATCGGCAGAGGCAAGAGTCATGGACACGATTCGTATCTAAATTGTTGCAACAGCAATCGTACAACTTCACTGTCGATTTGAACGCACCCTTCGGTGACACCGGCACCAGCGGGTCATCGTGGTGACAAACCAGTAGCGATACTCGTCATAAGCCTAACGGTAGCGGCCACTGGTAACAACCAAGGAAAGTACCACTGCAAAGAGCCGTGTAGCACTTACAGAGAGCAGTGCTACTGCAGGAACAGCAAGTGCTAGAAGTTTTCGTATTGAATGTCGGTAACGCCGGTCCAACGAAGCAACGCAACCATAGGACCTTCAATAAGAATGCTCAGCAGCACAAACATGAATACTCACAGCGGCTGCCGGAAAGACTAGCAACGGTCTCGTTGGCAACATCTATAGCCCGGGCGTGGCAGTCTGGGCAGATGGCACCTCGCAGGAATTGCAGAGAAGGGTCTTCAGCATGCATTATTTCCAGAAGATGAGCCACGACATTGAGGCTGGCTTCGGTTGCTCCTGACCCCTTAGTAGCCAGATGCTCCGGATCCTCGTGGCAAAACAGGTGTTTCAGATCTTATTCGATGGCAAGAACTTGAGTGGGGCCCTCTCGTCAGCTTTGAAGCTTCCTGCCTGGAGTCTGGAAGTTGGACTTTCCTTGGCCTCTTTCCTCTTGCGGCCCCAGAAACGCGCAAGGATCTACCTGTACAAAGAGAGCGTTCTCAACTGCGCCCCTCGGCACTTCAAGAGGCCGCCTGAGGGAGACTGCGTGCAGAAACCTCAGAATTTGGCGAGGCTCACTTGCAGAGTAAAGACCCGAACTACATCATCGAGATTGTGAAGATTTTGCAGGACGTGGTGTGCCTCCCGGGCGTGCCTTGGCTGGTCAAGTGCTTCCATCGCCTGAACTCTGTTCGGAGATGCTTCTGTTTCACTTCTGGTGTGAGCTTCTCACAGAGTCAGGGCCAAAACCCAGGCATTCTCAAATAGTCGAGTGGTGTTCGCAACCTGCAATGCCTGGCGGATAACTGTTGCCAAAAAAAAGCGGGTTGCAACTGGAATTCAAAGGAAGCCCCATGGCAAAAATGTCGAGAACCTTTGCACCACGAAGGGATGCATATAATGACACAGTGGTTTACATAGCACGACGTACGAAGCCATCGATCCCTGCCGAAGGAAGTACGGCAACTTGGTAACTTACAGGAGCTTCGAACAGTGCTGAGACGCATCTTGAAGAGTTTTGGGGTTGTCAAGTATGCGGTACCTTGCCAGACTGCAACTTGAACACATCGTGCAGTTGTGGGATACTAGCACAGACTCAGCGATTGATCCTCCCAAGGTCATTCTCGAAATAATGTGCAGAGACCCTTATTTTTTGGTTAATTTGTTGCATGCTTTTGATGGGATGGCTGTTTGCTGTGCCAGCCTCATTCTATCACCGTGCAATTTTGATTGCAGTTGAGGTTGTGGCTGTGTGTTCTGTGTCATTGTGGCATCGTCCTGCTCATCGTCGTGGTTATTGTTGGTCGTTCGTCGTCGGTTCCACTGTTTCCGGTTTAGCTCACAGTGCCTTTCTTGTTGTTCAAGCTTGTATCCATCACAGCTGTTCTTGTTAAACTCACTAGCACTACTGTATTTGCCGGCTTTTTCCTGTTTCTCCTGTTTGTAGTGATTGACACAGCTAAGCGAAAGGGGCTTCCTGTTCCGAGCTGTTGCGGCATGATCTCGAGGAGTACATCGCCCGCAGGGGCGAAATAGCTCATCAGATGTTCTTCATCGCCCGTGGACTCCTCTCCGTGCTCGTCCCTGGACTGGACAAGCCCAACGACGTCGCTGCTGCGAGAGCGGCTGCTGAGCAGAAGAGAGTGCAATGCGCTCATCGGAGAGATCCCAGTTGCCCTGTGGTGAGGTCAACCAGCTCAAGCTGTCTGACTTCTTCGGAGAAATAGCCCTGATCAAAGACTGCGTCCGCACCCCAAAGAAGCAGAGGCGTCCCGAAGCTGCCGGAAACTAGCGCCCGAAACGGCCGGAGAGCCGCTGCATTGCCGCTGCTCTCGCATCCACCATCGAACCGCCGTGTTTACCATGCCCTCATCTAATGTCCATCACAACCAGGTGCGGACGGCGTGGATTCGGGCAGATACTTATGCGCTGCTCTCGTCGCTTTCCCGCTGCTCTCCTGGAACAGACATCAGGGCTAGACAGGGTGGGGCCTGTGGTGCTTAGCTCTTGGACTTGTGAGGTTGAAGCACGACTTTCCTTCAGTGACAGTGCAGAAGTAATTAGCAAGAGGGTTCGGCGCGGAACGCCTCTTGTTCCCCAGGTGAGACGGGCGTTGAAGAATCGGGGGTGGGATTCAGGTGTCAGGTTGATCCGACAAGTTGTGCATCACTTGCAGGCTTCGACATCGAGCCGATTTGGAAGTACTTCCCAGAATACAGGGAGGAGCTTGAACAGCAGGTGCGACCTTGCATTAGCGGAAGTTGAGCTTGCTTATTGTCCAGCCCCGATCAGCCCAACTTGAATCCCCGGTGCGTACGGCTCAAGCAGCCTTGAGCTCAAGAAGTGCAGATAGTGCGCCAGCCACGCTGTGATTCTTGTTCTGCCTTGCCCTTGCTGCCCTCGCATGGAAGGGATCTTGTGAGGAGTTGACATGCAAGTTGCAGAAGAAGTTGTATCGTCCCAGCCTTCCGTGACACAGCACTCAGCGCCAGAGTTCAGGTAATCGTGCAGCTGTTGCACGCACGCCCCATGCAAGCAGGTCTTTGGCGTCTTGTCTTGCGAGTCGTCATGTTCCACCCAGAGATACACTTCCTGCAAGCTTTCGTGGCCGCAAAATCCGCCAGAGATCTCGGGAAAGAGCGGGTGTGAAGCCGAAAGCCTGTCTCTGGAGCCTCACGCGGCATGACTCTACTTCATGGAAGTGCCACAAGCAGGTCGTTAGTATCTGGCGAGTCAGTAGAACAGTGCAGCTGGTGCTCCGAGCGGGACAAAATGCCTGCAAGCTGTCATGTCCCGGAAAAGGTGGCGTCAGCGTGTAGCCGCCAAGAGATCTTGTGGGACTCTAGGACTCTAGGAAGCCTCAAGCACCAGGTCAAGGCAACCGCCGAGAAGGACAGGAGTCGGAAGGCCCGCGGTCGATGGCAGAACGTCGGCCATGGAGAGAGCCCCGGCCATTGAAAGGGCAGAGCGGCAGAACACTCACGCTCTACGGAGACTCTACGGCTACGGCATGAATGCCTTTTCTGCAACCGATGAGTTGGTGCTCAGCCCGAGGAAGCGGAAGAAGCTGATGGAGCTTCAAGCCAAGGACCAGATTGACAAAGCATCGTCCGCTTCCAGGAAGACTGCCAGGAGTGGGCCCTAAACGCAGGGCGGTTTAGATTTAGATGCTGCGAGGTCCGGGTTGGGGCCGGGTTGCCGCTGTGACTGCAGGGGAAGTATCTTGGCCGCGTCCATGCAAGACGAGCCCAATGAAGAAGCCAGCATTCTCGAGTCCGGGGACTCGGCGGCGCCTCGTCTTGAAGCAAATCGTCGGCGAGGCTGCCTTTGGCTGCCGGGCTCCGTGTGAGCTGAGACATCAGAGTGTAAGCCTTCGTCTTCGATGCCGAGGCGCTGAATGCACCTGCTGCTTGGAAGTGTTTTCTGTTGGGTTTCGTTTGGGCACGGGCGCTCACGGCTCATGCGGTTCATCGACTGTTGAGAGAGCCCAGGAAAGCACAGATGAAACCAAGAAGCTGCTGTCAGAATTGCTGCAGCGCCAGAACTCACTGGAGGAGAAGTTCGAGGTGAGCTTTCATTCCTCCACCCAAATTCCCCCCCAAGACTCAAACAGCCGGTTTTGCCCATTGGTGCGCGGCGGTGTTGCCAGGCACATGGGGAGAAGCTGGCTCAGATCTTGGAGGCTCTACAAGGTGGGCAAAGCGACTTGCCACCATTGCCACCACCGTCAGCTCCGCCATCAGCGCCGCCAAAGAAGGAGCGCCTGCTCTCCCACTTGCACGAATCCTGGCGAAGTCGATTTCTGTGAACCTCTGCGCAGGTTGTTGTGAAGAGAGTGAAGAAGAAGCGGCTTGGAGTCCACTTTGGGCCAAAACTCCCCCCCTTATTTGCCCAGCACCACTTGTCTTCGTCTCAGGGCTGCTGCCGGTGGGCCTGGGACCCCAGAGGAGGCGGGGCTCTTGCCTCTTGCCATCAAGTCCAGACTCTTAGATTACAAAGTGGCCAGAGGAGGGCGAATCAAAATAGTTGCAGAGCACTTCGCTGTCGTCTCACTGTGTATGGTACTGGGGGGTTGGCCGAAGTCGATCCCGAGTGCTGTGCACGAGGGGGTAGCAATGCTTTTTCCGTCTCATCAGGCATTGATGAGGTATGTTACGGCATGTTGCTTTTGTTGTTGTTCGTTGTTTGTTGTGTTGTGCGCAGGCCTTCAAAGCCTTTCACAGCCCAGGTCTTGCTGAAAACAGGCTCATCCACTCGGCACGAGATTCTACGGTGCATGCTGCCGTTTGGACCATGTGCACCACGTGGAACTGGTTGTCCAAGGTACAGGTAATTAATCAAACCAGCTTTTGCACAGCTCAGCGTGCTCAGCGTGCCCTTGGGGATTCCTAGGTCTTGGGACTTCCCGGCGTGGGGTTTGACATGGGCTAGCTGTGAGGTCCATTGGTGCAGGAAGCTAGGGCAGCTGGGGGGGACTTACAGTCGGCGCCAAGTACGTGCTCTCGCCACACCGCTTCCGCCTCGACCGCCGCGAACTTCGGATTCATCGAGATGCGCTTTCCAGCTGGACGTGGCACCTGCCTTCCCAATTTTTCCTCCTCGATCGGACACACTCGCCTCACAGTGAACCATGACCTGACGGCGCTTCAGAGCAAAACAAACAGGGGCTTTCGGTGGGTTTTTTCTTCTTCTTCGGGGCAGGTGGACCTGGGAAGCGAGCTCGGGCAGGAGGCCGCCGCTCGCTCTGCATGGGGGAACAACGAGAAGAGGCTGTGCGAGGGTTTGAATTTCTGCGATGAGCCGAGGAGCCTTTGCTTGGTGAGGAGTAAGGCCGGGAGCAGAGGGTGCCGGAGCTGCTGAAGCGCGATTGACAGCGTCTCAGGTGCTGCTTAGACGGCGGCTGTTCCGGGCCCGGAGCGTCGCGGCTCGGGAGAATACGGCAGAGCGGTTTCTGCGGTTTTTTTCGGCGAAATGTTTTTCCCCTTCAGGTCCTCAAGGAGTTAATGACTGCGCCAGCCCCTTGGTCCTTGCTGCGGCCCATCGAAGGCCCATGGACTCAAGGTGCAACACATACAAACACTTGCGCAAACTCCGTCCTTCTGCCAGGCTACGGGCATCGCTTTCCTCTGAGGGCACCCTCTGAGGCGAAGCGGCACTTGGTAGCTTTTGATGCCAGCGACATGTGTGTGTGTGTGAGACCCTTGAAGAGATAAGTTGATCTATGGACCTAGAGGCTCCTGTGCTTCCTGGCTGGGCTGGCCTCTGTAGGATGCTGCCTTCAAAGAAGGAGTGTCGGGTTAGTGAATTGGGGGCAAGGCTTGAACTCCAGGGATCGCCTTGCCCTTCGAGATCCCAAGGGCCTTTCGTGAACCGTGCATGCGGCCACGGGGGCCCTGATCAGGGACTCTCATGCCCATCAGGGGAACAGGTCCATCGTTCAATGCTCCAACCATGGGAATGCCGGGCTTCCAGCAACCTGCCGCCTCCCATAGATTGGCGTCTTTTTTGTATCGGGAGGTTTTGCTCTCAAGTCTCTAGGTCCTCAAAAGGATTCCGAAGCATCTCGCCATGGCAATGCCAGATGCGTTGCCGGCGCCGGAGAACATTCCCCGCCTGCTTGAGGGATGCTGGGCCAAATTCCTGGGTTCATGATGCATGAGAAGATGCAAAACCTCGCCGAATCGCTTTCCCGCAGCGCAGCCGAACAACAGGTGTCGGTGAGTATGCAGAGCTCGCGCGATGTGCCCAGAAGTACCAGCGAAGGAGGTCCATGGCAGAGCGCAGGAAGCAGCCCAGCCGCAGCTGCAGCAGACGGCCGCAGCAAAGTCGCTTTGATTTTTTGTGCCGAGGTCAGCCAGACTGAGCCAGCTCTCGCGGGCAATGAGCCAGCTCCCGCGGGCTCCGAGCAGCCCAAACCTCCCTCAGCGAAAGCCCTCGATGGCTTTCATCCGATTGCGGAGGACCGCATGCCCCATCATGCCCCCACAGTGCCGATTGTGTAGGGATGCTTGACCCTTTTGAACCCCTAGAGGACCGTGACGCCTGTGGTGATCCCGGGCTGGAGGGGTACCATTCACCGGTTTCTACAGTCCAGCCTCTGTGACATCGTCACGGGCCTGGTGTGACCAGGCTGCAGGCGGCCAAACGACCCATGCCGAGCATCTACATCTATCAAGTTAGAATCAATTTGGGGCCTTTCGTTCCGAAGGATTGTGGTTGACGTCGTCCTCACCTGCATTGACATCGACATCCGAGCCGCGGGTGGGAGCACGCCACTGGCATTGGATCTTCTCTCGAACTTGTGCCTTTCCATGCCCCTGGGCTCTTGAACTCGCCTGGCGGAAACCCACTATCCGTCCTTTCGTAGGGACCTCCACACTTCCACAGGTACGTCCTGGAACTGATGGCTATCATCATCGTCTACAAGCTGGGGATATTCCGAGATGCCTGGACCATGCTGGACTCGCGGCTGCTTCCGAGTTGACTAATGACTTGTCCTGAAGCATGGGCAAACAATATGCGGTCCAAAGCAGTGCTGGAATCTTCTTACCGTGTTGTGATCAGCTGGACCGAGCACTAGAAACTAGAAACTGTTTGTCGTGCAAGAGGTCACCTACACAGATGCTTGCATCAATGAAGGAAGGAATATACACATGCGGGCAGGCAGGAATGCATGTCTGCACGCATACACATGTCAAACATCCTGCCTTCAGATGTGAGTACACCTTCTTCACATGGCTCGGCACGAAGCATTCAATCTGTGTATACAGATAAATGCTTGCATGAGCGCATAAGTGCGTGCATGTGCATATGAATGTATGTATGGATAGACGTCTAGGCCGTCTAGGTAGATAAGACAGACCAGACAAGTATGGGAACGGAGGCACAGACACGAGTAGTAGCAGGCTGGATTGCAAATCATGTCTGTATTCCTTGCGGACGGACAGACAGACACACAGACACACAGACACAGACAGACACAGACACAGACACAGATACACACACACA